TGGTGATGTTAGGTAGTGGAACCTTTAAAAAATGAAGCCTAAGCCAGGCTTGGTACATGCCTATAGTCACAGTTTCTTGAAGGCTCAAAAGATCAAGGCCAACCTAAGCTACAGAATGAGTTTAAGGACGGCTGGGCAACTTAGTGAGACTCTATAAAAAAAAAAAAATGAAAAGAGAACTGAGGATGGGGATCTTCAGTAATCAAGTACTTGCTTAGCATGCACAAAGTGCTAGGTTTGATCTAAGTATGCCTAAAACTCTAAGTTTGACCTAAGCATGCATGAAACTCTAGGTTTGATCAGTTCCCAGGACTATTCCTCTTTTGCTAGGTGGGACCTTAGGTGAGGCCTATTGGGGAGAGATTAAATCACTGAGGCATTGCCCTTGAAGAGAATTAATGCTGGTCTCAGGAAGTGAGTTCCATCCTTTCAAAAGCAAGTTGCTGTAACAGATCACATGGAGCCCCTACCTGTTCTTGAGTGTATTCCCTTCACAATGCCATCAAGCATGCTATGAGCCAGCACAATGTGAGAAGCCACAGCCCCCAGCAGAGCCAAGCAAAAATCAATGCTATACTCTGTATTAAAAAAACCAACATAATTAAACATTTTTCTAGCCTCAGGTAGCTTGTTATAACAAGGGGAAATAAATTTATACAATTATTAACACACCCACCCTCACTCCACCCCCCCACACACACTATAAACTCACCATCACACCTGTTGAGTCTTCTCCACCTGCTGGTCACCTGTTCCCTGGCTGAACTGGCTGCCTCACTAGGTTGCTAAGCTGTGTTCATGACCAAGAGCCACAGAGTAGGTTGGCATTTGTCTCCTACTTTCCAATAATTCGCATAATGGATTTTACTTTTCACCACTGGCTAAAAACACAACCATAACTTTCCTTCCCTGTGTGAGTCCATTCCTTTGAATGACCCATCTAATTACTAACCATCACTCCTGCCTCTGCCTTTGAGTCCCTGGCTTCATTCCCAGAGCCTCCCTTGGTCGTCTCTATCCATTTCCTATCTAGACCTCCAAGTCAACAAAACTCACCTTAATTCATGTTTGCACGTCCTGACTCTAAAATACACAAAGAATTAATAGGTATTTATTAAGTGGAGCAGAGCTTGTCAACAACCGTGTGCCTGGTGCTCTGTGTTCTACTCCCCGCTCTCCTCTTTTCAAATCATTATAGAACACAGGCTGCCCAGCCCCACTCTTCACTCTCTTCTTCAGAATCATAGAATGGTGTCTGCCAGCCCAGGCTTAATTCTGAGTACCTGGCCCTCCTCGGAGCTCGAAGGGTGGGCAGCGCTGGAGCACCATTGCTTTAACTGTTTGTTAGGAGAGAGTTTTCGAGATTGGCTTAAGAATGTTATTATTACCTGGAACAGTAGTGCTAACAGTGCATGAAATGCATTGTGCTGAATTAGACCAAGCCCAAGAGGAGTGACATTGTCTGCTCATTACCCATAAGTGGGCTGAAGCTCAGAGAGGTTGAGTAATCTGTGTGAGTTCATTAGCCTAAGAATATTTCACCAATTGCGAGTTGCCCTTCCTCTCTTTTTTCCACTTTAAGATCTTTGTGGTGAGTGTGCATCTTACCACCGATGGAAGTCACCGTTTCTTTGGTCTATAAGTATTAGTAAAGAGTGTGCTGGGCTCTGTCACTGAGCTGAACTGATTCATGACATTGTTTTTGCCTGTGGCAACTTGGACAGAAGTATTCATCTTTCCCCACCCTTGTTTCCTGTGTGTGTATCTTGTGCTCCTTGTTCTGAGTTTAGTTGCAAGTAGGTTGGTTTTGAAAATCAAAAGAGTCAACTACTGAGTCAGCATGCATGCTTTCTCTCTATAACCTGCTGATAAATGACTCTCAGAGCCTGAGAAGAAAACCACTGTAAAGGGTAAACAGGTTTTATAACAGAGCAACAAGTGTTAATTTGTCCTCAGTGGGGCAAATATTTATCATGGGAAGAATAACTGCCATTCCAGATTTTCTCACCCAACATGTCTTAGTGACTGGAAAAATGAGGATACCCATAGAAACATAAGGCTGTGTTTGTGTTTTGTGACCAAGACACATGAAGAACAAACATTTGCCACCAAAGGCCTGGAAAATTCCAAATCTCCTTGAACAGATAAATGTCAAAGCCATCTGAGGCTGCTGTGAATGATTCATGGGAATTGTTGAAGCATTATGTCATTGTTAAATGCAAGTGTTTTGTCACTGGTAATAAAATAATGATGCATCTCAACCACCATTGAAGTCTTGGGTTGAATAAAATTCTGTAAGCAGCAAACCCAGTTTTAAACTCAGACTACCCAGCTCAGGCGACTTCACCCACATCCCTTGTACTCCTGGCTTTTATTAGCCACGAGTTTATGAGAGAGCATTCACAGAGTGCAAAGGAGTTTGCAAATCAAATTTTAGAACATAATTTGGTCATCACTGAGATGTTGGCATTTTTATTGAATGCTAGAGTCACATTTCAAGTAGAATTCTCTCCATCTCTCATGCCTTAGGACTTTAATTAAGATCTATTTGAAACCAGCCACATCATAATTGATTATATTATTGACCCACCAGATAGCAGATTGTATTACATTTCGTTCTTTGATTGCCTAACAAGGGACATGCAGCAATGTTTAGTGTCATCAGGATAATTATAACTGTTGGAGCTGGTGGAGGTATAGTGGATGGCACTTTTGTCCCCTGTATTAGTTCATAACCAAATGAGCGATCACTGTGGATGTCAGACAAATAGGGACTGAATGATTAGAATTGTGAGAAATCCTCCGTGAGTGCACACGGTGTAGATGGTGTCCATCACAGAGCTGCCAGCAGTTCACTCCTGACTCGTCGGACCTTCTACCTGGCCCAGTGCCACATCTGAACAACAGCAGGGCCGGGCTCTTCTCTCTGTCTCTTTCTGTCTGTCTTGTCTGTCTGTCTGTCTGTCTGTCTGTCTGTCTGTCTCTCTCTCTCTCTCTCTCTCTCTCTCTCTCTCTCTCTCTCTGTGTGTGTGTGTGTGTGTGTGTGTGTGTGTGTGTGTGTGTGCGCTCTTTTCTTAACAGGCTGGCTTGGGAAAGAAAGAAAGGTCTGTGTTCAGCAAGCTTGCTGTTCCTTCCACTGCCCAGGCCACCCATCTGGGAGAGTACATGTGAGATGGAAAGTGATGCTTGGAATATCACTGGAGGAAGCACCTTCCCTCCATGAAAACCTAGAAATGGAAGCCCTCGCTCCATAATTAGGACTATAAATAATGATGTCATTAGACAGCATTTGCCCACTTTTATTATTGCCTGCAAACAGCTCAGGCCAAAAGCAAGTGGTCTTAGCCTTAGATCGCACACCACCTGTACTAGTAACGTCTACCTCACTGTGATGACAATATCTGATAACAGCGAAGGAGAATGCTCATTCTGGCTCCTTCTTCCAGAAAGTTTCTGTCCACCATGGCAGGGTAGACTAATGCAGTCCATGGTGGTGGGAGCATGTGACAGGGGCTTTTCACTTTAAGCTGGACCAGAAAGCAGAGAGGGCAATGGTAGCAGGGCTCAGGCTATAACCTTCCAATGCCTGCCCTCAGTGACCTATTTCTCCCTGCCAGGCTCTACCTCCTGGAGGTTCCACAGCTTCCCAAAATAATGCCACCAGCTGGGGAACCAACATTTCAAACTGTAAGCCTGTAGGGAGACATTCTACATTCAGACCATGACATATTACCATCAGCTTAGGTCAAGAGTCTCTCACTCAAGTTTTTCGTTAGTTGAATGGTGCCCATAGGTGCCTCCTCCTCATGGCTCCCAACTGTGTTTGAATAGTGCTAATAAGTAGAAGCAGTTGCTCTGTCCACAGTGCAGCATTTTACAAAGGGAACCCTGAGAGCTCACATGCAGAGATATGTAGCTTCTAACTGCTAAGACTGTATACTGATAATCCATTCTCTGAGCATTTGAGCCACTGATAGCAGATATCTGAATATGAGCAGCCAGACTGCAGGTTTTAAGGGTGGCACCCACAGTGTCCTTGACACCACCTATTGGACTTTACCTCTTGAAAAGTCGGGCCATCTCTTAAAGACAAATCTGAAAGCCAAGATTCTAATTCACAAGCCCTTAGACAAACCACAACAAGGGCATCCATTTGGAGTCTGTGGTAGCTTGAAAAACTGTGACTCAGTATCCGCATGTGGGAGGCTAGCCAAGGAGCAGATCCTAGCCAGAAGCTTTAGAGCTGTCCCTGGCCTCTTCTCCTTCCACATCTTCCAGGCGATGTTTTCACCAATATTGATCTCTTTGCTCTTTCTGTTCCTCACCTAAACATGCCAGTTTGTGAAGGCACCCTTCTTGATATCCTCTTTTCCCCTCCCTTCAATTCACATCTTTTTTTTTTTTCAGTGCCTCTAGAACAGTGTTTCTCAACCTGTAGATCGAGACCCCTTCGGACAGGGGTTGCCTAAAACCATCAGGAAACACAGATCTTTACATGATAGTTCATAACAGTAGCAAACTTACAGTTATGAAGTAGCAACAAAAAATAACTTTATGGTTGGGGGGGGGGTCACCACAGCATGAGGAACTGTATTAAAAGGTCTCAGTGTTAGGAAGGTTGAGAACCACTGTTCTAGAACATGCCTCTCTGAATTGACCTTGTAAGGTCCGTTCAAGGCTCTACCATGCAGGTGCTTGTGAAGATGTAAGAAACCTTGGTGAATGTATCCGAACTCTGGCTTTGCAAAGAACTAGCTGGGTGGCCTCAAGCAAGCTAGGTTCTGATTCTCACAGGCCTCAGTTTTCCACCCGGGAAATGATCTCCAAGAGTGTTCCCCACTTCAGCTTGGGAATTCCGAGACAGTGAGCACTATGTATGTGCAGCCTGATGGAGTTAGCATGCTTTTCCACAGCAGCCACTCCCAGCTCTAGACATAACTGTCTACCTGACTCACACTTGATGCTGCCTCTTTTGCTTACTTTCTGCTCTTGTCTTTCAGGGCTGGGAGAGGGTTCAGCCCTCCTTCATCCAGACAGCAGATCACATCCTCGGTCCTTAGAGAAAAGTGCCTGGAGGGCCTTTAAGGAGTCACAGTGCCATCATATGCTCAAGCATCTCCACAATGGTGCTCGGATCACTGTGCAGATGCCCCCAACCATCGAAGGCCACTGGGTGTCCACAGGGTAAGAACTGGCCTTGAGACAGGAAGGGAAGAGAACAGTCTGGGAGTGGGATCTAAGGAAGACCCTCTGGTGGGTTTAGATGCTGACTTTGTGGAATACACAGTAACTGAGAACCAGGCACCTCTTGGAAACTATGGTTGGTTAAGCAGAGCTAAGAGCTGTAGAAACCTTATGCCCAAAGCAGCAGTGGTATCATAGCACTGCTAACTACACAGTGTGAGTGAATAGATCCTTGTTTACTGAACTCCGTGGGACTACTTGCATATAAAGAGAAACCATTAGCAAGTGAAATTAAGCGTCTGTGTTTCACTAACCCTGAAACATGACTGCAGAGCTTCTTATGGTCTAAATATTCTCGCCATATTCTAGTAACTTAATCTATGGCTTCAGGGCGCTGGGGGTAAGTTAAGAGCTGCCTCCACTAGCCAGTTCTTAGATTCTTTACTGTGTTGTGAAGCTGAGATTAATCCCAGTTTGAGCTCTGGCTTATCTTCCATTAGAGCTTTTAAAAATAGCCTAGAGGCAGATCAGCGATTTTCTTTCTATCCATTAAATTGTTGAGCATTTACAAGACTAACTGGGATCTGATGACTCCTCCCTACTCTCAATTCCTGGGATATGGATAGCAGCCTCCAGTGACCTTGGGAAAAAATAACCAAACACGTATGGACAAAAGAAAATCCTGTAATATGATGACATTGAGATTTTTTTTCTAAAAATAGGTCTCTTAAAATAACTGTAATAAATCTCTTGCATATGGATTTTAAATGTGAAATTATAATGAAATTATAACCTGAAAATGATCATTTATTTGATGGCTACTGTGGGTATATTTTGTGTATATAGTGGTGACTCTGACAGACTTGGTCCCTATTGTCAGAGATTTTGCAGGGGGTCACAGAGAGGCAGGGGTGGGATGGCAGCCGGTGTGGGAGGAGAGAGCCTTATCTTAGGGTCAGGATGGACCCTGAATGTCTACTTTCTTCCTGAAGGAAGAGTTATCTATGTAGAGAAACTAGCCAAGTTATGGCTGCATATAGGGTGAGCATGGCCTGACCAGCTTGGAGACCTCACTGGCACCAGCCCTGCAACCTAGCTCCCTGGGGCTGGCTCTGGACTATCTTGCAGAATAGGCCTTTTGGTTATTGTTGTTGATCTGGGGTAGGCTTTTTCTTGTTGTGTTGTTTCATTTTTTTTATTGTTTTTTGTTTGTTTGTTTGTTTTTGAGACAGCATTTCATTGTGTTGCCCAGGCTAGCCTTGAACTCGGAGCTCAAGTGATCCTCTCGCTTAAGCCTCAGGAATAGCTGGGACTACAGGTATGTGCTGTTGTGTCCAGCTAACAGGTCTTCTAATCTAGGGAAACTTGGAAGCGAATGAATGGTGCCATGTCTGGTCCATGTTTAAAATGAGATTGATTCAGCTTTATGAAAGGGCACTCCAGCTGTTTTGTGGCAAGTGTATGGGAGCAACCATAAGCTGGGAGTGACTGTCGAGAGCCTTACACATGTCTGCCTAGAGCTGATGGTGGCTTACGTGAAAAGGATGGGAGAGCAATGGAGAAATGGCTGGGTCTGAGATACACTGAGTTCAGGGTAGAATCCACAGGTGTTGATGTTGAGATTAAGAGAGAAAAAAAAAAAGAGAGAAGAGGTCTTCCTGCCTCTGCTGACCTCTATCACAGCTCACACTAAACTCCAGTTCCTTTGGGACAAAAGCCTAGGGTAGACTTTGCCTCTTTCTTCTGCCTCCAGTGACCAGTGCTCAAACAACCATGCGTTTTACATCCTTAAGGCATTATTCAACAGCAGTGAATATGTTGATATAACAAAAGTGCTCGTATTAAGTCGTAGTTATTGCTCATCTGTCTGCCAACTCAAAGTCTAAATTGTGGACAATTTTAAGAAGCACCTGTGTTTGTGCTTGATTTAGTCACACTGTCGGCTCAGCTCAGAGTACTTTATGAGCAGAGGTAGAATTCTGATGAGCCAGGAGTCGTAACTGGAAAGACCAGGGTCTAGCCAGCTTCATAGACAAACTCTGGGCAGTGATTCAAGGAATCCCTTCCCTCTACTAACTAGTACAGGCTCTGCTGTGTCTATATGGATTGATGGCAAACCTATGAGGATGTCCCTGAACCCATGAGCTTTTTTGCTCTGTAGACCCAGTGACAAGTTTCTGGCTTGGGAGCCTAGCATTTATTTAAGGACATGTCCCCTTTGTCAACCAATACACACCAAAGGAGTCCTGGTCTCTCTTATTATCTTAGCTTTGCTTCCATTTAATATATATATATATATATATATATATACACACACATACATACATACATATATATATCTTTCCCCGCCAAGAAAATAATAGAGTGGATAGAAGGGCAAACTTCCATTTCTGCCAAGATTCCATATCAGAACAAAGGACCACCTTAGACAAGGTTCATCATTTGAAGTGTTCATGAATCATTTTGGTCGACCAGGTAGCTGTTTCTTATGTAGACCAGTGGCAGGCATACTCTCCCCTCTTATCCAGAGAGAAGGGAATGTCCCTATGAGGCCCGTGTTTCTCATCACATACAATGAGTGAAAAACTTTTAGGTTAGACTGGTTAGGGTCAGTCACTGAGGCTGCATTGCCTAGCTTCATGGTCAGGCTCTGCCACTTGTGATCTTGTACATGTTTCTTCTGACTCAGTTTCCTCAGATGTGAGTGGTAATCATACACAATGCCTGGGTTGTTGTGAACATTCAATAGATTAACATTTGTAAAGGACATGGTCAGCACTGTTCTTTACTGCAGTGACTTTTCACATGCTTACTCTAATTCACATGCCATGGGTTTTACTCAAGATTTACCTGCTCTGTTCTTCAACAGCTGTGAAGTGAGGTCGGGGCCAGAGTTCATCACAAGATCTTACAGATTCTACAACAATAATACCTTCAAGGCCTACCAGTTTTACTATGGCAGCAACCGCTGCACAAATCCCACCTATACGCTTATCATCCGAGGCAAGATCCGTCTGCGCCAGGCATCCTGGATCATCCGTGGGGGCACTGAGGCTGACTACCAGCTCCATGGCGTCCAAGTCATCTGCCATACAGAGGCAGTTGCTGAACAACTCAGCCGACTAGTGAACCGAACTTGCCCAGGCTTCCTGGCTCCTGGTGGTCTCTGGGTACAGGACGTAGCCTATGACCTGTGGCAAGAAGAGAGCAGCCACGAATGCACGAAGGCTGTGAACTTTGCCATGCATGAGCTGCAGCTCATCCGTGTGGAGAAGCAGTATCCCCACCACAGCCTGGACCACCTGGTAGAGGAGCTCTTCCTGGGCGACATCCACACTGATGCTACCCAGAGGGTGTTCTACCGGCCATCCAGCTATCAGCCTCCCCTGCAGAATGCCAAGGTACCCACCTAGCCACAGATCCCTGCAGAGTCTGAATCCCCTTGACTAAGTAAGACAAGTGGCCCATGAGGCATGTCAGAGAGATCCCGGGGGGGGGGGGGGTGGTAGTGGTGTGGGGGGGCACCTGAGGAATGTAGGTGTTTCTGGAAAGTAAAGGGAGAAGTGTGGAATGCTGGGAAGTGACATGTAGCTGGGAGTTCTGGGGCTGCCACCCACTGGTTTTGTGTTCTGGGGAGTAGTTGTGATGCTCATGAAAAATAACTCCAACATCTCAGAAACTCCTTACAGCCCAGAGGACAGCATGAGGAACATGAAGGGTACCATGGCAACCATGCTGGGAAAGACTCCCATCAGCAGCGCACATCCTAATGCTAGGGGCCTCCTGAGACATGCTGTCAGGACCCTCTAAGGTTCTCAGGGGTCAGGTGCCTTCACCATATACTTGGTGGATTTCAGTGCCAACTCTTGAACCAAATCTCTTCCTTCCAGACCCGAGTTCTTCCCAGTTTATTAAATGACTTGGAAAGCCACTGTGGTTAGAAGGGAGATTGAGGAGGGCAGGAAGCCGTTAAAACCTTCTCATGCTCATTATTTGAGTTATGTCCTAGTAATATTTGGAGTTCACAAGGTATCTCCTCCCCCAAGCTCCAAATCGTATTAGTCAGTGTGTAACTCATTCATTTCCACTGAGATGTTTGTGAAGTTCTGGGCTGGGAGGAGCAGACAGATTCAAGCCTGTTGGAGTGGTCAGGGGAGTTACTGTATAGTGCCCCCCAGCTACGCTCACCGGCCTTGGTGGAACAGCTAAGAATGGTGGGTCTAAACACAAGGCTCTGGTTGACTTTGATTCCTTGTTTAAAGTCTTCTTTATAGTACTTATCTGAGGTTACTCATCACTAATCAAGCCGTCTCTGCTGGAGATGGGACAGCATCTGTCATTGTAAGCTCGTGTAATGGAGTTTTGTTAAATAACCACCTTGACTGAAACTGAAAATTCTGCCCTGTATGCAAGGTGATGCCGCATGGAGGGCCAGAGCCCCCAAAAGATTCTGAGGCTATGCTACAGTGCCTTGGACAGCTCACCAGCAGGACTCAGCAGGGCCCCTACAGCTTTCCTCCCACATGGAAGAGGAAGCAGGTCCATCGTGTTCCACCCTTAGTGTTCAGAAGCACCCAAGAGGCAAGGGCAGCCTGTAGTTGAGGAATGCCTGGTATTCTCTTACTGTGATGAGCAAGGGACATGAAGCTCTGTCCCTTCAGTGTGTTGGAGCCACAGGACAGAAGGTACAGGGAGGGGCTGTTAACAGGATGCTGCCTACAGCTAGAGGTGTGGTGCTAGGCCAGGCTTCAGTAGATCTTTTAGAAAAGTGGATAAGAACTGCTGGTTTCCAGTTCTCTTCTGAACCCTGGCCAGCTGGTGTTGTCATCTATACGCTGCACTGAGCATCACAGGTGCGCGCCATTTTGCTTAGAATTGGATTAGAAATGGCAGCAGAGAAGGGGATTTCACAGCTACATGTGAGGTGTCCTTTGAGTGGAAGCTAACTGGCTTTCCATTTAGTGTGACTGTAAGTGGTCCGGGTTGTCCACTAACACCACCTTAACCAGGAGCATGTGCCCGTTCTGTTACTCCAAACCATCATGGCCATCTGCCAAGCACGCAACGCCATCGTCATTCCTTACATCCCTCCCACGGACTTGCCAGTGAGCAGGGAAACAGCTGTGTGCCGAGCGTGTAGGCTCATGACTAATCCTAGCACTCAAGAGGCTGAGGCAGGATAGCTGAGAGGTCTGCCTGGGCGATGTAGTGAGATAGAGAGTACCCAGGCCAGCCTAAGCTACAGCATAAGGCATTGTCTTGAAAACAAACGAAAATCCAAAGTAACAGCAGCAAAACCTATCCCATCGATAGTGAGGGGTAGAGTCAGGTCAGGCTGTCTGCCCCCCATCTGACCTCATGTCACCGTTTGCACGCCCAGGGCCTGGTTCTCTTTCCTTGCCAGCATGTGCCCACTTGGGCTCTTTGATGTCTTACACTCCTTTTAAATGCCAGAAGGAGAATTGGTTTTTGTTTCCTGTCTTCCCGACCCCCACCTTTCTTACCTGAATCTCTTCCCCCTACCTTCTCTGGTGTACCTCCAGGGTGTGGAGGTCTCTGAGTGAACCTTTCACCTATTGGCCGCAGTCCAGGCCCAGGGTGGACCTTCCGTGACGTCTGTCTGTGTTCCTCCCTGGTTGAACCTGTCTGGCTTGTGGCCCCTGCGGCTGAGGAGGAGTGTCTTCCGAGTCAGTTACTAGCCCTGGCATGGGATTTCAGGGTGACAGGCATGATGCTGACCTTCTCTAGGGGAGTTTTTTATTTCTAAAGAGTTAAAAGAGTTTCTTGAACTCTGGATAAATTGGCAAGCATGTGGAATTTGGAAGTGGGAACCAGTCCTAGGCCACAGCTGTCTCACTGGCATCAGCTGGGGTCAAGCGCTCTCTCTTTACCTGACCCCTTAGGGCCCGGCACTTCTTTCCTCTCCAGTGGAAAAGGACACTGTAAGGACGCTGTCTCTCCTGTCTCCTTGGACTGGAGAGTGGAGCCCTGCTGGCTGATGGCTCCTGGAGAAATGAGGCTGGCTGGCTGGAGAGTGTCCAAACGCTGTCTGATGCCTGCCACGAGACACTTCCTCCTGTCTTCTCCTCCCTTTCGGTGGAGGCAGTTGTGGGCGAATTCATCCAGATTCTCAAGACTCAGAGTCTATAAACCCCAGGTCTGGGCCCAAGATTCCAGAAACGTGAGGAGAGGTGGAAAGAACTCAAGGAAGTAATGTTTATCCAGAATGTACTTCATAACAGGGATAAGGACGGGAAGACCAGCATGTTTAAGGTGACCTCATTTGTATGAAACAAATAATTGAAGAAAGGGAGGAGCGGAGGGTGGGAGGAAGGGGAACCTGGCAATGAATTCTGAAGAAGGGTGGAAATGGCAGAACTGAGGTTTCCTTTAGGTACCTTCTGTAATTTGTACCATGGTCTTGTAGGACCTGAACACCATTGCCAAGTAAAATTAAAAATCAAAGAAAGAAAAGCCCTGCTAGGAGTCTAAGGAATGGTGAAGCCATGGATAAAGCTGTAGCCCACTGAGAGAAAGGCTTAGGCTTCCCTAGGCCTAGCAAGACCTATGCTGTGGGACCACTGTGGCTGCCCAGCCAGGATGGTTGCAAGGCTGTGAAAGGCCTCAGGCTTGAGCAGCTAAAAGGCCCATTCTTCTCTTGTTGTCCCTAGTCTTGTGCCTCTCAGTGCACAGGGATGCCCCTCAGGAAGTTTTTAGATCCTTCCCCAAGACGGCTAGGAGAAAGAGTGAATGGACTTGGCCAGTATCTTTCCAGGCACTGGACGTGGTAAAGCCCAGTTGCTTGTGCCCATGGGACATTCCAGCAGCAGGTTGTCTGGGCTGGTTGTGACTGTCTGGCCCAGGACAGGAAGCACCCCAGAGTGAGTGTCTTCAAAGAGCACACACTTTGTACCAGGGGGCCTAGACTCTCTAGCTTTGAACTCTTTGCCTCCCCCCAATTACTGGTCCATGGAGACCTGACTGAAAATTCGTTTAATGCTAAATTGAGTTTGAAACCACTAGTCTTAGCCCCTGTGGAAACAGGACACCATGTAAAAATAGAAACGTCAAGCCAACTTGTTTTGCTAGGGTTTATACAGCTTTGAGGTAAGGCTCTGAGTCCCTTGGCAAGTAAGTGCTGTTTGCAGACTCAGGTGTGCGGGGAGTTCTTTCAGCAGGAAACTGGCTACTCTTCATTGAGAAAAATCAAGGTGGCCTAAAATAACCCCGAAAGATGCTTGGAGTGGGTGTCTAACCCCAGCACAGCACTGCCCTCTGCCCTGATTCGCTAGAGCCATGTAGTTGAAGTGTACACCCAAGTTCAAGTGCAGTGATAGACTCATATGGTCATTAAAAGCAAATAATCGCCAGAAGCCTTAGAAATGGCAAGACGTTTAAGCAGGTGGAATTGATCATTCTCCAAAATCTTCCATGGATTCATCCACAGGATTGTAAATCAAAGGGGCTGTCTAAAAGCAACACCCAGGCATTGTGTGTCTGAAGTATTCTGACCATGTAGTTGCCTGGGGGTGGGCGGAGGACCACATCCGGCCTTCACAGCACCTGACCCCTACAGAAGAGAAAAGGGCCAGAGCGCTGACACCCTCTCCAGTGCTATAGAAACCAGGCTGGGAGCCAGCATCGGTTTGTGATTCAGTCTTGTTTGACAAGAGTGGCTTTCTAAAAGGCGCTGGCTGTTTGTCTGCATGGTGTTGGTTCCAAGATCCCCCCACAGATATCAAAAGACAGCTCAAGTCCTGTGACATGGGGTAGTGTGTGTGTGGAAGCTCTGTATACCTCCCTTGTACTTTAAACCATCACTAGTGGATGTACAGCATTGGAGACAATGCGATTCTCTATAAATAAACTGTATCCTTCAGGAGTCAACAAGCGGAGACGCTCGTAAATTTAGAACAGAGGCAGTGTGTCTCCCTCGGTATTTTGGGCTGCATCTGGATGTATCCTCAGATCAAAACTCACACATGGAGAGGGCTAAGGGTGTGTGAAGAAGACAGATGATCTGTGAACTTTGTGGTATTGATGACATCAGAGGGATTGGAGCAGGTTCTGTGGGCAGCAGGGTTTTTCAGCCTCTTGCTGCTGCTGGCTAGGTTGGCCGTTAGCTCCTTGAGCATATGCTGTGAGACTCCTGGGTAAGAAGACAGGACACTGACTGGCTTAGGGAAGGAGCCAAGTGCTTGTGGAAGGATCCTGTGTGCTTTCTCTTCACCAGAGTTGGGGAAGGAAAGGAAAGGGCATTGCAGAGAGGATGGGAGATGGATGTGAATGTCGTGGTGCAAGGCCGCAGGTTTGGAGAGGCGTGGCCTGAGATAGTCCCCCAGGCCATTCTTAGGTAAATTTTCCTAAAGAAAATTCTTCCTGCTGCTGGGCCAAGGTGTTC